ACACCAAAGCACAATGTTTATTGCGATTTATTGGATGGGAAGTGCCCTTCAATGCTACGTCCATTAACTGAAAACAGGCTAGACTAATCGATTCTTGGGAATACCTTATAAATATTCAAGTAACAATTCCAGTTGCTCACCTAATTAATTCAGTTCTAATTCTGGAATGTAAAAGGCATTCTCAATTCAACTCTCAATGCAGCACAGCCCTGGTATGCCAAATGCTTTTTTCATTTTATTTTTTCTAAATGTTTGATTTGGCTGGAATTGAGCACCAGGTCTGGCTAATGTTTACGAGAGGCCGAATTTCAGCATGTTAGGAATTAGCATGCTTACCCAAAAATACAATCGCTGCACACCAACCGGAACAATAACATGTTTTTTTTTTTGTTTTTTTTTGCATGAATGGAGGTTACATATGAAGGTTATAAACTGAAGGTCATAATGTGCATTTAAAGTGTTAACACTATTTCAGTTAGCTGAGTGATCTACATGACTTTCACAGAATGCTGACAGAAGACTATCTCAGCACTCACTAGGGAACGAGTAGCAACAATAACAGTAAATGATTCTAGGTTTTTGTCACACATGGGTCCGTTGGGCTATTATTTACCGCAAGTCTACAGTTACAATACCTACTAAGATTCTGGCATTGACCTGTAGGTCTTCATTTAGAAATTATTATGGTGTAAATCCCTGAAAAGCAAAAAAAAATGGCCTATTCACAATTTTCTACAAATTATTTCTGCTGCAAAAAATAGTGCAGTAACTGGCGCAAGTCCTTGTGGCTTTAATAAAGTTACGACTTACACATACATGCGTTAAATGCATTAAAACACATGCACAGAATTAGTTTTCATCAAATAAATTAGCTTATTTCAATTAGTGGTCATAATCTGCAATTAACCTGAAGGTCAGTTCCGCACATACCTAAAAGCTGTAATTATTTTCAAACCGGATTATTATAGCGTGTATTTAATTGCGCTGATTACCCTTGAAATGTCAGAGTCGAGTCCCACTATCTGCATTCGTGTAAGGCTAATAAAAAGACACATACAAAGAAAGTGTCAAGGATGTCACATCAGAAATAATAACATTTTACATGATTTTTACAAGATCTCATGTAAGACTTCATTTGAAACTAGCTTGTTTGAAATTAATTAGCATCCCAAACTCAGAATAATATAACTTGAAAAATAAAATGAAACCATATCTACCACATTACACTAGCAATATCCTGAAATACAGTACAGCATATATTACTACACTATAATGCAGAGATTTTTTTTTTTTGGACTGTTGAGTGGTTGAATAAAATCCTATTAGCTCTGCACATTTCACATCGAGGATTTCTTTACGCAAGGCAATGGGCACTGGCAGAGTAGTCCTCTTGCATCCTTCTCAATTTTATTTTGGGACATAATGGTGAGATAACATTTCTCTTCTAAATCCAGCATTGGCACCTCCATTCCAGCTAATTTTTCACCCAGCTGTAGTGGGTAAAATTGCTTTGATTGATACATTGGGATTATATCTATCCCTTTTCCTGCTCTGAAACAGAATGTTGCAAAGGGAACAGGATCTGCTGTTACTGCTTCCATTAGCTGTCACTGTAAATCACTGTGAATCAACCGGAACCTCCACCTCCTGGTTCTAGGGTGGTCTATAAAACCTGGAGAAAGCCATCCGCTAGTGTAAATGCCATGTGACTAATCCCTTCAGAGTCACAGGAAAATGTCAAGACAATGCTGATTGGCTGATGGCACCACAAAACACAGACCCAAAAAGAAAAAATAAATAAAATAACAAATACTATATATATATATATTTATTTGGCAAGGATGCATTAAACTGATCAAAACTGACAGAAAAGATATTTATACTGTTACAAAATATTTTTTTATTTCAAATAAATGCTGTTCATTTATTAAAAATCCTGAAAAAAAATGTACTATGGCTTCCACAAAAATATTAAGCAGGACAAACTGTGTTCAACATTGATAATAACAATCATAGTTAATAATTGAGCACCAATAATAACTGATAATAACCAAACTGCCAATCATCGAATTAGGTGATTTCTGAAAGATCATGTGACACTGAAGACTGGAGTAAAATTTAGCTTTGTCATTACAGGAATAAATTACAAATATTTTAAAATAGATAATAATAATAGTACTTCACAATATTGCTGTTTTTCAGTTTTTCTGTATTCATCAAATTATATTTCATCAGGCCTTGGATCTGAATGGCTGCCAATGGAGAAAGATGCCCCCAGATGGTGTAGATACGACATCTACCCGCATGAACTAACTGGGCCACGCTAACCAAACAAACCCTGACCCCTTGCCTCCATCCAAGCCGATAAAACTCAAACATATGCAGAATAGAGCAAAAAATAGTGGCTATAAAATAAATGGATTGCTCATTGAAAATGGTAATTAAGCTGCAGAATTGCGGCCCAGCAGACTCAGCACTGAGCCGTTCCTCTATCTTCTCAGCTTCACTCCTCTATCTTCTCAGCTTCACTCCTCATTAGAGAGTGTCAATACAATCGACGGGGAGGAGATGTGATATGACTTATGACTTCATCCTTGTCATCTAGCCATTCCCGCTCAAATCTTGACATTTCCAAGTGGTTATCTGCCCATTAGTCTGTGTTTGCATGATAGTAAAGGGAGCTGGCGTTTGATGGTCTGAACGCCACATTTATTCTGGTGTGAGTGTCGGCCTATCTGATTTATGTGCTCTCACTGTGCCGTGATTCGGCATATGGTATATACGGAGACAAAGAGATTAATGATCCCTGTGACCGCAGATGAGACAAAATGACTTAAAACAGAAAAGAGGAGGAAGAGGAACTGTCAAGTGTCCTTCCCCTTGTATTTGGCAGCAGGCAGATCCTCACTATGAGCATGATGGGTAAAGTCAGTATAATTCATTAATGCTTGGAGTGCTCATTACTGTCTTTTCACACTTTGAGAGACTCATTACCTGCATAATAGAAGACTCCGTATAACACTGAGACCATTCCTCACTGAAAATTAATCATCCCATCCCAGACAAAAAAGGGAATTCTCTCGTTAAATATTAAGAAACTCCAGTACCATGAATTCTATTCTAATTTCCACCCCAGCCTACCTTAGAGATACAGAAGGAAGACTGTAATTCTGTTTCCAATTCTAGCGAGCAGCCTACGAATGCCAAATTCGAAAGCAGCACTGCATGTATTCTTTGTGAAGACAACAATTCCATAATGTACTGTGATGAGCGGAAACTGAATACAAGATGGATGACAAATGTTTAGCTAAAAAAAGGTGCTTATTTTATTTGAAGTAACTAGGGATGTAACGATTAACCGCGAGCCGGTTGAAAATCGATTCAAATATGTGACGATTCAAATCGGTTGAGATGCTAAACAGAATCGAATCGTGAGTTGAGTGAATCGTTACATCCCTAGAAGTAACACATTTTTCATGGTTTAAGTTTCCGTTTTAGTTAACAATAATTACCTATAATTACTATAATTATATTAATATAAACATAACGATAATTTATTTTAAGGATCAATTCTCACTATTAATTATTTGCTAATTAGCTTGCATGTTGGCTGTTTATTAGTACTTATAAAGCACATATTAATGCCTTATTCTGCATTACCATATTTTAGATTACCATATTTTTATTTTAGATCCCTTAATCGTACCCCATTTGCAGCAAATTAGGAGTTTATTGAAGCCAAAGTCATAATTAACAGTTAGTTAATAGTGAGAATTGGTCCCTAATCTAAAGTGTGACTATATAATAATATATAGCATTACATTATTAATTTGAATTATATATTATATAATTCTAAACTCTTTATATTTCAGTCAGTATCGATAAGTTTAGTGTAATTTAAAAATGATTTGAACACATGTACTGTGCCATTAGCTTAGCAACATGCTAACACCGCGCTCTCTTTAGATCACCTGCGAGTCAAGTTTTCTGTGTGCTTTCCAAGAGGACTGCTATTTATATGATGCATGGAGTTGCTGCCTATGTAGAGCTTTCCAAATCGGTCACTTACAAAGTCCCATTCCAGTTAGGATGCAGTAGACAGTTGACAGCCTCACTAGGTTATGGAACAGAGCTGGTATCTCCAGTAAGAGGGCAAAAAAAAGACTCAATGTCATTGTGCATGTGAATCTACACTGTCTGACAGTAAACAAACAGAAACAAAAGAAGTAGTATATGGTACTCACAGTTGACTGTTACTCTCACGGTCTTGGTGTCGGGTGAAGCGATGTCATTTTCGGCGCCGCACTCATAGTCCCCAGCTTGATCCCGAGTGATGCCTGTGATATTTAAATACTCCCCGCTTTCGTACTTTCTGGCTGTGAACGCAAGAAAATAAACAAGCACAATCCTTCAGAAACGTTCTTCTGCAGGCATGTATTAATTAATGTTTAAATGCTTAAAGGTACAAACACCATTGAGTCTCAACAGCCAGTAAAAGATGCCCAAGTGCACCCAGAAAACTGAAAAAAGCTTTATTAAGGCACATAATTGCTTTGTTGGCTAGACATCCAGTGGGAAGCATCTCCCCTGTGAGCCTGATTCACACAGTGAGGAATATTATTGGAGTCAAATACTGTGAGGAAATCAGAACTGTGCCAATATGACAAATATGACTTGAGGTCCTTGAGTAATGAGAGGCAATATAGCACAGCGTGGGGCTGCCACGCTTCTACTGGACTAAAAACCTCCCCACGTTCCCCAGACCAGATCCAAACTTATTGTAATATTCCTCAGTGAAACCTATTTATATCCCACTTTACAGTGAGGTGAATATTTCTCATGGTACAGAGAGGTAAATCCTGCACTGGCATATGGATGAGAAGCCTCTGACTCAGCACAACCCCCACAGAATAAAAACAGCACGGAGAGCGATGCAAAAAAAGGAGGATGGAGAGGCTTTAGGAGGGGTGTGTTTTTACCAAGTCTTTGTAAAGCATCATAGAGCTTCAAGATCCGACATCAAGAAAGCTTTAAAGGGATAGTTGGTTCCCTTAAAAACAAAAATTGTGTCATCATTTACTCACCCTTATGCATAGCAGTTTTCCATGCAATTACAATGAATAGGGATTGTAGTGTTTTATGCACTACATTGCAACTCTTCTGAAGCCATATGGGAGCTTTGTATGAGAAACAGATGGGTATGTATATTTTTATTCATTGATATCACTGTCCAGTCAGCTGTTAACAGCTGAGATCTGATTTGAGTCAGTTGATCTTGAGAACCAGATCAATCTGAGTAAAGAAGGAATCTTTCAGATTGTTTTTGTAAACTGGATCAACTGATTCCTTGAAAGGATCTGACTTAAAAGAATGATTCTTTCAAAAATCAGAAATCACTACTTCTGTCATAATCTGAAATTTTGATCTGTTCCTTGCACAAATATCATTCTGACTAGCTGCTACAACACTGATAGAAACACAAGAGCTACAAATTATTCCATGCTTTTGTAATTTGCATGAATATTTGTGTGTTGCATGAAAACAATTACCTCTGTATAGCAGGTAACAAACTGAACAATTGAACAAAATAGTTTTCTTTGGGGTTATCAAGGAACTGACTAAGATGTGTATCTGAGCTGACAAGGTGCTATTTGGCTCCCAATGCTTTACAAATGAATAGAGGCAAAGACTGTAAAATAGGATAAATTGTATCAAACACATTCATGCAAAACAACTCATATTTGGCTATACAAAGATGAAAAGGCAGTTGGACATCAGAGCAAAAGAAGTAAACATCATAGTATGAGATTGTTCACCCATCAAGATTTAAGCTGTAAAATGTAGTTAACTAAACTGAATTGTTATTGTTACCTAAAACTAGTTTCCGTTAATTTAAATAAATCTAAAAATAAATCTGAATTTCATGTTTTTTTTAAGTTGAATTTTTTTCTAAATTGTATACTGTTTAAATGTTATACTGTTCTGATATACAGTGGCACCAAAATGTATTTGGACACTTGAGCCATTCTTTAAAAAATGTATAACACTGTAATGTAATTGCATTAGATTGCAGAATGTCAAACAAAGTGGCATTTATTTGAAATAAAAATAGCCTGTGCATACTTTAAGCAAAATATTTTCCAAAAATATTCTTTTAATAATACATCATTTTAACAAGGTGCTAAAACACCTGTGAGAAAAACGACTTCAACCATCTAAATGAAAAATGACCAGTTAGTCAAATATTGCAAAAATAGCCAAGAAAAGTGTTGTTTCTGAGAAAAGCTATTTATTTACAGTTATCACTTGGTTTGATCTTTTGTACGTAATTAAATGAAAACCACACTCACTTAATTATGTATACTTTTTCAGGGCAAACTGTTTTAAATCACAGCAATGGCAGTCGTCACATTATCAAAACAACTGTTCCAGGTAAAAGGCAAACTTACAAAATTAACAAACATTGACTACAACTTACCATATTTCTTCCTCCAGCTAAAAACCAGAGGGATCTTTATCAGTGATTAACTCACTCCATAATTCCCTTACTTCAGTGATTTATTTTCTTTTTTCTAACAGAGACTTCACAATGAGCCATCATTTATCTTACTGATTACACCAAAAGAGGAAATTACCAAGGTTTAGTGACATTTAATAAAGAATGGATCCCTTCGTGAAATCAACCTTTGTTATATAAACCAACTTGTTTGCTATAAACCAAAAAAAAAAAAAAACACAAACTGGAGCATCTTAAAGGCTTAATGGACACCGATTACGTGCCAGAAATATATCGACCACCTCCCGAATTGTGCGTGTTAAGAGTTATTTGAAAGCTCAAGAGAGACTTGTCGTAGCCTCTGGGAAATGTCACTCCAACCAAATTAGCCAAATCACAGCAAGGTTAATCTAGGATTCCACATTGCTCTGTGTTAAGTGCAGTCACAGTAAGCACTTTCCCCACATTGTGTAAAGAGCACAAAGTACATTTCCTTGAGGTCTGCCTGCTGCTGATATGATGAGCGCTGGTGAAGAATACATTATGGGTTAAGGTGACAGTTCTCTGTACATCTCTTCCATTAACCCGTGAGAGAATACTGCGGCAGCCCAAATGTTGCATTATGAGAGGCTTCCCCCAGGCATTCATTGAGTTGTCAACAATGAACCATCAACCATCATTCAACCGCCACACATACTCGCTCGCTCGATCTCGCACATGCACCTGAACCACCTCCACTTTTTCCATTTCCGGTATCTCACCTTAACCCTGATAGCCCCCTCATTGTCCCAAAGTGCCCCAAAACAATTGCTGAATATCTGTCCGAGCACTCTTTAAGAGCTGGTCATTGTATTGAAACCATTTGGCGATGTTTACACAGACTGTCAGTGCCGAGAACGGAGCTATTGTTCAGGAAACAATAAACCAGAGTAAAGACAATTTTGGGAGGCAGAGGCACGAACAAAGGATTGACAAAGGACAATTGAACGCTTCACTGTAGCCTTATCATATGAGAAAAAAAATCAAATCTGAAGTGTTATAGTCAGCTATTTGAAAGGTCAGAGTTCCTTATATCCCGAGGCCTTAAATCACAATGGAAAAAGCTTATGAAAGCATGTTTGGGATCAAGTGTGCTGGGCCAGGCTGTACAGAGAGCGTGAGGCCGCCCTGTAGCCTCACTACGTCTCTATATAGGGCTCGCTTTAGGATCTATCTTCATCTAGTCAACAGAATTTGGAAATCATGTCTGTAAAGCAATTTTAAATGCCCTGAGTACTGAAAGTATTAAAAGAGTGTGATTTAAAGCTTAGACAAGGAATTGCTCATTTAAAGTTCTTTAGCTCTCATTTAAAATCTACAGCGGTGAGAGTGTGCTGTATTTGCGAGTCAGTTTAACACGTTCGTACGTAATGTATGGTTCTAGCACAAGTATGTTTTAGAAACTGAAGCGCACATTATTGACGGCATCTAAAACAAGCATTTTGCTTATGATCAGCTTTAGTAACGTATCATTAATTATTGAATTCATGGAATTAATAGGTTGACATTAAATATGTTCAACAGCATCACATTTATTTAATGTATTTATGTAATCTGACATTTTATCGGTTTTATTCGGTACTGTGTATCATAGTTAAATGTGACTATACAAATATACATTTGTAACAAAGGATTCACACTGTATTTTAGATTATGTCAGTACATCCATATTGTATCTTGTTCACTAAAATCTGTATTTAAACATCGGGATAGTTCTCACGACAATGTTTTATTATATGGGTGAACTATCCTTTGTGCATACTAATGCGATCAAGCTGCTCAGGCAACTACCATTTATAACAAATGCTTCCTGGGGACCAAACCTTTGAGTCAGATTGAAATCTGTTCATCATTACAAGTCAGACGTCTTTGAGAGGTCTTAAATGCATAATGTCTTTAAAAGGTCTTTAAGACTAATTACACCATTTATATTGATGAAAAGTCTATATTCTAAGCAACAATGAGAGGCACAGAAGTCAAAGGTCTGATGACACACACACACACACAATAAACGTGTAAGGCCAAATGCACTTAGAGTGTTTCGGCAATTAAATCTAGTGGTGCTAGGTTGCAGGTTCAGCCTCCTGCAGGGTCATTCAAGAACCACTGAAAATCACAGTCCAGGAGCTGCTGTGATTACAGCTCTGACGATTACCACAGTGCTGCCATATGTGCACCAAATACTGTTACACGTGATGGTGCGCAATAATGTATTCAGTCTGAACATATTGGCTTTTCCAGAGAAAAAATGAATAAATTTGTACATTTGTAGAAGTTTCAAACACATTTTTTGTGTCGTTTTGACTTTACTCTCTGTCAGCATGTGAATCCTTGACAATATCACAGCGACTATTTAAATACTGTAAATTAATATTTTCAGTACATCACAACCTTCAGTGGCAGAAGCAGCAGTATCTTCAAAAAATGTTCTATTGTGACTGGCTCTTACTCATTGTCATGCTCTCTGCCCACACAGAAGTTAATTAGGCTGAAGAAGAATAGTTCAGACAAATGGCTTTCAGTCACATCTGGGCCAGACTGAATCTGTTGACCATAAGTGAAAGTTCACCATTTGCAGGACGGTTGTCTGAGGACTTTTTTTTTTAATTACTGGCACACTTATCATCTGGTTTTAAGTGTTTCTATAATTTGAAGTATCCTACCTTTGGTAAGTAGTGGTTTCATGACACTTCAAAGTCTTTAGATTAGAATCTCAAAAAGCAATTCGATCACAAAACACACTGGAGAATGAAATAAATATAGCAGTCCAAAGATAAGTGCAGCTGACTTCAATAAAAATTCACAAGCACTCAAATATACTGCTGTGCACTGAATTTTCAATTCGCTTTGAAAATATGCCAAAGTTTTTGCTTTAACAGCTGAATATAAACTATGAAAGGTAAAAATGAGGTTGATGTACCCTCACATGTTGTTTACCCTGCAGCAGAGTGATAACTTAAAACTAAGAAGTCTTTCTGAGAACAACAGCAAATTGAAGTGATAACTGATTAAAAGCCTTTTCCTAAACTCAGTTCATTATAGAGGGTTTAAAAAAGAAACATCTTAGTTTCATCATAATCTTCTGAGCCTCTAAACTCCAACACTGAACAACTTGGACAGACATTCCTGCTGTGTTTTGAAGTCAATGTCAAATTCTGTCTAACTTATTGTGACGTATTTTAACTGATTTGAACTCACCTGATGGGGAGATGTGTCTCCAAGAGATTTTGGGCTCTGGTTTCCCACTGGCTGAGCAGATGAGTGAAACATTGCTGCCTTCGTTTACCGTAATGTCCGATGAAATGTCATAGATTTTGGGAGGAACTGTGGAACAAAACAAACAGTTAGATACACAAAGCTGCAAATGAGCTCAATGCCAAAAGCCTGGATCTAGAAATTCAAGTATGTGAACAACAACAAGAGACAAGCTGCAAGCAGCAACTTTCGGGGTCCAAACACAATGCTACTTTATCCCAATAAGGTCACAGGTCTGTCATTCATATTTTGAATGAATAAGTGTTTTCTTTTATTTGGCATTGTTCACATTGTCTAATGATTGCTGATTGGCTAAAAGCAGCTATATAGTTTCAGATCTGCCCAACGCAAAATTCATTTTCGTTGTTATAGCAAGACCAAAACCCACAAAAATCAGTCATTTGTCTTTAGAATGATGTTCTAAGCATCTGTGCCAAATTTCATGAAAATCTGTAATTTTATTAAGGAATTACAGCCATTTATATGAAAATCTTATTCCACTGGTTTCATTCTGACAGGATGAAAATTCCAAGGATTAATTCACAAGTGTAATTATAAAGTCTAAGTGTAATATGATTTAATAAGTGATAATATGGGTATGCATAGTCCATAAGCCAAGGAGCCTAGTGATATAAAATGTTTCATGAAGCATAACCAAAAACTATAACTACATTATAATGGCGTTTCTGCTATGTACCATGGTTCAGTATTTTCCACAATATAATAATGCTGACAAAATTAGTATGATTCCCAGCGTTTCCTGCTTGGACCTCTAAAAAATATAAGAAAGAAGAAATTATTTGGTATTGTCAAACATTTTCTAATGAAATGTCTGATTTAGAATGCTTCATTGAACATTTTGGTGATAAAACTACCGTGATAGTTTTCTGGTAGATATATAGAGGGTAACTAGCCACTGTTGCATGATGATATCATGTGTGATGGTGCACCTCACACTCAGCTACAAACTAAAAAAAAAATCTAGATGTAAATCTATCTTTATCCCACCTTTCATCACACAGGGCCTCCACTCTTTCTCAAAACCACCATGTCAGTTGTCAAGGGGTTTATGAATAAATGTCTGACCTCCTGGTTTTGCTTTCCTACATAAAAAGGCAATAAACTGTCAGGACTCTGCAAAATCAACTATTCCCTTTGTTCATTTTTTGAGGTCTGACTGTGATTCTGTGCCAGGTTGTTTGAAGTGGACTGCATTTAACTAAACTGGTTCTGATTCTTTGACTCCCTCCTCGCAATATAACATTCTAAACACCATGCATTACTGAAGATCCATGTATAATGACCAAACTTTCTCAAGAGCTATTTATATATGTTCTTCTCAAACAGTAAATGGAGTTGTAATTAACTTTTATTTTATTTAAATGTCAATTAATAGTTCTCCTGACGGGCAGACTCCCCATTGCATCCATGCATAACCAGACACAATATATATAATCATGAATGATCGCTATTATAGAATAAGCAATACTCATCTGGGGGAAATCAGTTAGAAGAAAACAAGACACTGACGGAATTAAAACAAAATCCTTTAAAGCATGCTGAAGAGGGCATAAGGACACCAAACATTCAGCCATTTGTCACCATGCAAAGAAACAGCAATGTTATTTACTCCTACACTATTTGATCTCCAGTTTAGGTCTTTCTTATCTTGGTTTTTGTAATCTGCTGGCACTAAATGGTTGAGTTGAAATTCTAATATGAACCCTTTCATTGTTTGAAAGCACTCCTCTGACTGTCATGCTCTTCACTGCAGGTTTACTTGAACTTCCTCCCACTGTTGACAAATGTCCACAATCACTGACAGCACAAATGGAAAATGTTGCATTCGTCGCCTGATCATATCTGCCTTCTACAGGATCAAGACCCTATTAGTCAATGCCTGAGGAGTCAGGTACCGGCCTTTTAAATGAGATGTGGGGCCTCTGCAGATCTTTAAACTGAACATGTTCAAAGAAACATCAGTTTCATAATCTTGCCATATATTCTAGAACTTTCTCGGTAAATGCTCACCTTGAGATTTGAAGTCTTTTATTACTGTTTTTTTTCCAGACACTTCTTTACTTCTACAATGCAATAATGGCAAAATTGTGTCGAAACAATTGAGCTTTTTGAGCTTATAAGTTGGCGGGAAAAAAGTCCAGAGGATTTGGTGCATTGAAAAATATCTCTCATTACAGCCCAAGACAGTTTTGACTTTCATTACTGGTCTTGTGTGTACCACCTGTGAATACAGAGTATATTATCAGATGAAATGAAACCCTCTCTGTATTTTCAAGTAGCTGAAAAGCCGAAAGGACCGGTATGCCTTGACACTCCACTGAACACAGCAGCATAAACAGATGCAAAGGTCAACAACCTATCCCGGTATGCTCTTTTAACTATCACTAAGTTCATAATGAAAGCACGTGTTATTTAATCTCAAGCTCAAGGTCTGACCGCGATTTGACTTCTATGAATCCTTTCCGAGCATCAACCTCGACGCTTTCGGCCATAGTTATTTTTAACCTGTTTATTTCCACTCAGCCTGTTCAATTGGTAGGGTAATGATGACAAGAGAAAAACAAGACAACGTTAAGCCCTACCCCAAGGCCCTATTCAAGACAACCTGATGCTTTGTTTTCCGTTTAATTCATTAACTGCTGCACGATTGTCATGTTTGCCCATTCCACTCTAATTCTCCCTCCTCTCCTCGGCGGGAGGCGCTGAGATGGAGCTGCCACAGCTGACGGGGAAGGCATTATCAGTCTCTCAGCCCCAGAGTGAATAAATAAGCCTCTAATGACGCCACCTTGAATTACTGAAACGCTTACAGCTATTAAAATGCAGAGTTTCCTCTGAATAAAGTGGAGTACATGGCTTGCCTTTCTACAAATTCTGACAGGTTCTCCAGGGCTGACTGCTGCCACACAATTCCAAGACCCTATTGCTTCACACCTACTGCCAGCCCACATTCCAATTACAGAGCTGAGGGAAAAGTGGGCTCCTGTCATAATGCAGACTAGCACAGGCAAAGAGCCGAGCAGAGACAGGCAAAGAAATCAGATGCAGTCTTATCTATTTGTTGTCTTCCGGCTGAAAAGGAATGAAAAAAAAAACAAAACAAAAAAGTTAAGGCTGCTGTTCAAAAAATGGACTTGTATGTTACAGTATCGTCTAAATATTTATAGCATAAATGAGGTGAATTTTGATTTTATATATGAGGCCTCTGCATGGTAAATTACCAGTGGAATAGGCAGTACAATAAAAGATGCACTCTATTGCACAGCTAAGCCCTTCATTAACCTTTAATATTTGTTGCATGCCATGCCAAAAATACACAGAGACCACTGTAAATTAATTTCCCCTATCCTTTCCACAAGAACTGTTGACTTATATTTAAATGACAAAGTAAAACATACTACACTACTGTTGAAATCAGAGTTTTCACACTAGAGCTTTTAGTTCGTTTGGTGTTTTTTTTTGCGAACTTTGGCATGCACAAGTTTGCCTGAAGGAGGCATGGTTCATTTGGACTTCAGCATGACATGCAGTTGGTTTGAATGCAGTTGGGTTTAATTTGTGGAAGAGAACCAATGTTGATGACGTATAAATGTCTATTATACAATAATGTATTTCTAATTGCTACTATTCTCCACAGAAATTGCATTTTAGTAACTCGAATTTTTCATACAAATGTGTCTTACAAATCAGACACATTAGTGCTGTTCATGCATTTTTCTTTATGGTAGTAAAACCAAAGGGAGTAAAAAAGGTGAATGCTTCCATTTCTTTTACCTTCTCCTCTAAAGATACAGCATTATGTATCTAGTTGTAAACAGTTGCTTGTACTGTTTCATATCGATGATGCAAATTAAATCTACTGCAGTTTGGAGTCAAATAATATAAATCAGTCAGAGGAGGAATCGAAAAATGGATACGGACAAAAAAAAATTAGCTCATGTGTGAAAAGCCTTCAGTCTGATAACCCTGTTATGAACTACTTGTAAGACAAAACATACCAGTTAAGAAGCTGTTAGGATAGACATTACATTCATTAAATTAAGCTGAAAGAGAAACTGAGGGTAAGTAACAATTTGAACATAATAATAAACTCCTGTGTGTCCTGAACAACCCTTGTGACTCACAATGCGGCTCTGTTCCAAACGCTAGCAAGCTGCCAACATAGGCAGCACTTGAAGAAATCATAGGCACAAACCCAATGCTACGGCTGTTTGAAAAGGTAGGAAGCATGATTATTCTGCCTTCAAATATCTTTTTCTGAACCAAAGGAAAAAAGAAAAGGAAAGAAAAAAAACACATCACATGTATTCTTCGATAAAAGGTGTTGTAAGATGGTATATATAATTTATGCAATACTGAAATCATTGATAAAAATAATTCAGTCTAATTAAAAAACATCAATTATACTAAATATTTGTGTGTGCTATTATTATATTTATATATTTTTATGCTTATTACAGTATTATTTTGTTAGCCTAGCAACATGCTAACACCAAATTAGCCTTGTGTTGCTAACTTGTTTCAAATCAGCTAAGATGCTGCCCTAAAGAAATAGTTCACTGCAAAATAAAAATTTGCTTCAAATTCACCCTCAGGCCATCCAAGATGTAGATGAGCTTGTTTTGTCATCAAAAAAGATTTGTAGAAAAATGATCATTGCATCACTTGCTCACCAGTGGATCCTCTGCAGTGATGTCAATTAGTGCCATCAGCTGATAAAAATATCACAATATTTGTGAAAAAAGTCCATCCCGTGTTATCTTCTTACATCAAAATCCACCAACATATTTATCAACAGAGGCTGGAAGTAACAGTCTGAATTGCCTTTTTGTTATGTTTTTATTAGCTCTTTGAACTCTCATTCTGACGGCACCCATTCAATGCAGAGGATCCATTGGTTAACAAGTGATGTCATGTTAAATTTCTCCAAATCTGTTCCAGTGAAGAAACATATTCGTCTAGGATGGCCTGAGGGAGAGTACATTTTCCACAAATGTTCATTTTTGGGTGAATTATTTTTTTAATACTCAGCTTAACAGGTTTTAAAA